AGGGGCTCCTGGCATCGCTACTAGTAACAAGAAGCTACTAGTAGCAAGGACTGAAAGAGAAACTTCGCAATTTCGCATCACTTCGCCTAGTACCAAGGGTCTGGACTCGGACGATCGGCTGCACTGGCGATGGCCTCCAACCTAATAACGATGGCCTCCACCTAGTAGCTTTCAGCTATTAGTAGTGTCTTGTTACTAGTAGTAAAGCACCTTGTTACTAGTAGCATCCTTGTTACTAGTATCGATGCACTTGTTACTAGTTGGCACGAACGACCCCACGCCCAAGAGGAAAGGAGATGAAAAGAGTGTAACAACCGCGGCCACTCCACGGACCTCGTAGTGTGCCAGACGGAGTGGCAAAGAACTCAATTCCTTTCAACTGAGGCTTAACCACCAAAGAGGATCAATCGAAGATATTCACCCTCAAAGCCCGGCCAACTGCTTGAGAGCTGCAGCGCAGTCCGTATATATACCCGCCAGGCCCCACACATCGCACATCGCCCCCGTCCTCCGCGTCTGTCATGGCGCCAGAGCGGTCGACTTGCCAGTTGCGTTTCGGTGTTTTTTCCTGCAATCCCGCAAGTCCCTCTCTGATGTTGGACGTCCCATCATAACTCTTGGGAAACCCAAATCGTTTCTTTTAAAAGGTGAGACAAAAACTTTGTATTGCCATGCGGTGAGTCCTTGTTCTGACCCCAAGGGGGCCCAAGGGGTCAATGTCCCCGAAACAGACTTCGTTGAGTTGACCAAGGTCTACAAAGACAGGTGAGCTCTGTCAAAAACTGGTAGAGAACCTTGGTTTAAAGTTTAAAGCAATTCGCTTAAGGTCAGCAGACGCTTGGTGTGCCCTCCTGTGGTTCATTTGAGGTAGGTCTGCATGTTGACTATTGGTTTAATACATTTCAGCAGACATGACGTGCCAACTTGTTCCATACAAGATTTCTTGCAAGTCCAACAAATAATTCAGTAGGGAAAGACCCAAGTTTCATTGTGTGGCCTTTTCTTCCGCATGATGAAAGGCTGCAGCAGCGAGGATCACTGCACCCTCCTTTTCGAGTTGTCGCAGTGATACCCCCGACACTGGGAATTGCGAAGGTACATCTGTGCGACGAAGTCTGATTCTAGGGGGAATAGAATCTTCAAGAAATACATCAAGTCTGGAGCAGTTCAAAGGGGAGCCACGTTGTCATTGGTTTGAAAGGCCTCTTAAGTTCCTTCAAGGATGTCGATGCAGTCTTCCCTCTGCCGCTTTCTTCTATTTTCTTCCGAGAAGAACATGAGGCTCACATAGCAACTCAGGAACACCGCTGAGAGCTCAGAAAAGAAATAGATCTATATACACCTCTTAGAGACAGAAAAAGTGGACCCAAAAAGACTTGGTGGTCTTCAGTCTTCTCGACATCCAGATTTTGCAGCCTTAGCCCATGGCTGGAACTTGTGTTTGGTCCTACTGGGTACCTCTTACACCAGTCAACCAGGACAACTGACGTGTGTGAATCTCCCTGGAAACCCAACATGGCTCACACCAGGAAATCCTTGGAGCAGTCTTGAAGCCATTTGGGCGTCACTGGTGGGAGACTTTCAGCAATACAATTGCTCCAACACTATCAACAGCTACCAATCTGCAGACCAATGCCAACCTGCCCTCACTTGTTGATCTGAGGAAAATATTGCGTCCATCCCAAAATCGATGTAATATGCAAGGTCGTTTTTCATCAGCTTGAGCTTCAAGTCAGCTTGAGCTGCATTTGGCCCAGCTTGCCTGCACCAGGCAGGGACCTGAGTTTGACCTGTGTTGGGTAGATCACCAACATCGCCGAAAAACGCAGTTAAGTAGAAGCACTACGGAAGGAAAACTTGAGAGGTGTCGAGGCTGCTTGAAGGTGCCCTATTCAAAAACTATGAGTAACCATAAGTAACAATAGCAGCTGGTAGCAATATATATATATATACACACACGTATAAGCGTAAAGGTATTTCTATTTAATAGAAATAACAAAATTCCGTTCTGCTGTGCTTTTTCACCTATCAACCCCAGAGAGTTGGGCGAGGTGCTTGGACTACGGATTTGGGCCTGTCTCGGGGATCCCCGCGTCTCACTCGGTGATTCTTGGGTGCTCTCCCTATTTCAATCCCTCATTTCTGGACAGAGCTGTTTTGACCCTCACCTGAAAAGCCGAACCCTGGAAGCTGTTTGGCCCTGTCACGGTGATGGGTGCCAAGAAAGATCTTCAAACAGAACGAGATGTCCGGACCTCGGACCATTTCGGACACCTCCGGATCGATCGGTCCGTTGCACGCCACGCCTCCGTCACCCGCTTGGCCTTGAAATGCTAAGCGAGCCTGGCGACGTGACGACGCAAGGAGAGCCAGGCGTTGGGGACTCCCTACACGGAGTCTGCTTCCGGTGACTCCCTACACGAGCATCTGTAACTTGCAGAGTGACTCGGAAAATCTTAGAAAGCAAATGAACAATGCAGAAAAGTGATTCCCTGTCAATTTGTGATGGATTTTTTGCCACTTCAAAAGCTAGTTCGACAGTCCCTTCCTTTGCGTTGCAATAATTGTGGATGGACCGAGTCCCACTAGGCTGAGTTGCAGCATGGTGGGGTCGCGGCTTCAAATGTCAAAAACAGCAGAACTGATGGAAAGGGCAAAACAGATCAAATCTCTTTAGGAAAAAAATCGGTTGTCGATGAAAACTCAGAGAAGTATATATGAATCAAATGCTAATCTGGTATTGGTTCAGGTCGATATGTGAATTGTGATCTCCGGGCTGCCGTGCAAGCCATTCAGCATCTCACAGCGCCGCTGGAGCTCCACGACCTGCCATGGGAGATTGAGCAGTCCGAAGACGATGAAAACGGCGAAAGGAGCGCGATGAAAACACGGCAAAATATGTAGGCCTATAAGGAGCCCCTACTAGCTTCTTGTTCCTAGTAGCGATGCCCGGAGCCCCTAGTAGCGTCCTTGCTCCTAGTAGTAAGGCCAGGAGCCCCTAGTAGCGAACAACATATTTAGGCCTAATATAGGCAGGTGAAGCCGTGCTGTTGCTGAGTTGATAGATGTTGAACGACCATTTTCACCCGCTTTGCACTTTCATTGCTTTGCCCAGGTGGTGGATGTCCTCTGCCCGTAGCCCTACATCATGGCGCATGCATGGAGACAGACTTGAGATGAGCCTGGTTTCCAAGATATTCATTATTCATCGAAAAATAGAACATGGAATGCATATAAATGCTGCTGGTTTTTGATGCACATACTAGCTTCTATATGCTCTTATGCTTGTCATTTTCTATGAGCAGGGTGATTGTTCCAGGTTGAACCACAAAGCGAGCCGTGAACCACTCATACACTGCCTGAAATGACACAGTGTGCCATCTGGTCCAAGTTTGCACCATCATTCACTTCAAATTCAAACGACGACAACAACAAAAAACAAAGAACAGCGCCCCCCTTTTGCCCTCTGTTTCGGAGCACAAGCAACCCCCTACCGTCACACCCGACACCGGACCGGGACATCAGTCCTCCCCGACACGGACTGGGGTTCATGCAACCCCAGTGGAATTGGTCGCATGTTCCCGTTGAAAGGAAACCACTGGGAGACCAACGGAGACCCTCATATCACAGGGTAGAAAGGTAGGACACTCTAGTGTATTCCTGTATGTATATATATATATACACACACTACACACATGTTTTTTTCCAGGGTAGATCCTGCCCAGGTTTGCAGTTTGCAGAAGCTGCCCGACTCCAAAATCCTTCAATATACAGGTGTGAAAATGATCTCCGAAGGCCCTGGCCTGATGGGTTGTGCAGCGGTTCTCATACATCTCTTGGCAGTTCCAGAAGAGGGTCGCTGTACGCCCAGTTTGATTGTTGAACTATGTTGCCCTCCTAAGTCCTAAGTCTCGCATCTCGCATTGGTAGGTCTGGCCATCTATGCAACTGTCCATTCTTCTGAAAAGGCAGGATCTGATTTCAGGGAACCGCCGATATCCTGAAGTTCCCAACCTCAATTGGCCCAATAATCAAGAAACCTTCACCGAAAATCCACTTCTCCACTTCTCCAAACCTTCGGCATTTGTCCGTGCGTGCTCTCCACTCGACCCAGTCGCATCGTCCGGTCGCCCGTCCCCCGTCGGGGCGTCGCTCGCCTCTTGGCTGAGCTCCCCCTCACGCCCTGAGAGGCGAACGCCAGTCGCATCGGTTCGAAAGTCTGTCCAATTCGTCCTTCAATTTGAACAAGAACAAATCAGAGGCCTTCTTATCACAGTTTGCTTGCCATGGTTGTACATGAGCATGTATGATTTGATGCTATTGTTGGACACGATGCTATTGCTCGCTATATATATATATATACTAATATATATATATATATATTGCCATATGTCTTTGCAGGTGAGCTTGCATTTTACTGTGACACAGTGTCCCCCTCCTCATGCCCTCGTAATAGGTGCCTGGCATCTTGCTAACATTCTTAGATATATGCCCATCGGTTCAGAGCCATAGGCACCCATCTCAACCACGAATTGAATGAGGATCCATTTGCGACAAGGTGCGACAAGCGAAAACCCAGCCCGTCTGTGCCACCTCGGTGGTGTACCACCCCATCTGAATCCATCTGATCTACTTTCCTCCTAGCTTTCATTTGGGAATTCCCGCATAGCTACCTCATGTACCATCATGTACAGATGCAGAGAAAGACGCCATGTCAAATGGGCCGTCCCAGACCGGGAGGAGCTCCTCCCGAGCTTTGCTCCTGTTCAGCTCTTGCACGTGGCAGAACGACACGAGGCCGGGTGGCGGAACCGGTCACATCGACGCCCGCGCATCACCGACGGGCCAACGAGGGATCGATTGAGGGATCGAGCGTCAGAGGCCCACCCGCCTGCTGTCAACTCTGATTGAAGAAGACCTCCAGAATGCAAAATGCGGCGCAAATGGTGCTCCAAAATGGTGCTGCTCCGGATGGCTTGCAGGATGCCTAATCATAGGCTCGTGATAGTCAGGCTTGCCAAACTTAGTTGTTCTTTGAAAAGAAATTGACTCGGACTTAGTGAGTTCACCTAAGTCCATTCGCAACCACTGCTGTAAGTTTGGCCCATTTCCTGGTTGAGAAGCGAAAGTACGCTACCATCGGAACCCCAACGGATCACTCTACATTTCATCCCATGCGGTGGCTCCAGATCCTCCAGGGTCCTACGAGTAGCTCGCTCGATGGATGATCTGGTCGGTCTGGGTGCGGGGACTTCAAAAGAGGTCTTGGACTCATGTTCTTACCGTCTCTAACCCTGTCTCTGGTTCCTTTTTCAGAAAAAGGGCAAGCAAGCAAGCAAGCAAACAAACAAACAAACGCAAGGACAACTTTTTGCGGGTATCCTTCTTCAACCATGACCTTTCAGCCATGACCTGTGACATCGGCCTGAAATGTTGCCCTACCCATCATGGCCACACTCTGCCTGTATTCTAGTAGCAGTTGCCCCCGTATTCGTGAAGAACAAAGGAGATGATCACTTGATCTGTGTCACAAAAAGCAAAGATTGCAATTTTCCAGCATCCCGAAGTTAGGTGGTTAGTATGGATTAGTGTTCACTAATAAGCTGGTTCATACCTAGTGCTTCCAAGGGGTGTCCAATGCAGACCCATAAGTATGCAAGCAGCTGGTATATGTCAAAGCACTCTTTCATTCCTCACAGCAACTTCTGCAACCCGTCATCCCCAATCCGCCTGGCACACACCGGCGAATCAGTTCAGACTCTTTGGCAACCAAGTGCTGGAAGCTTCGACAGAGGTCGCAAAGCACCTGAGGCCACGCAGAGGTCGACAGGTTGTCAATTGAAGACCGAAAGTGAGCCGGGCTACCGGGCTTTCGATTGGAAGCAGGATTGTTTGTTCACAGTCTTGCCAAATTGCTTCGGGCTGGTTGAACTTTATCTGAAAAAGATCGAAAAAAACCATGAGCATACTGTCGTGTGCACAGGATGTAAGACACTGTGCCCAAAATGGCGAAGTGTTCAAAGAGGCAGCGCATGCCACAAAGAAAACATGCGGAGGGCAAAAGGGTGCTTTCACACAGGGAATCCACAGGATTCATAGTGACTTCCATTGCGACCAACTACGGTGCAGGATGGACAGTCCATCAACCGCATCTCGACCTCAGCCTGAAACCCTACAATGTGCACTTTGCTATAAGGGAGTTCATACATGTTCATAGTAGCTAGAAGCTACTAGTAACAAGGGCGTAACAAGGGCATACATGTGAATACGCTTCTCACTTCGGGTGGGGTGCTTCTCATCCTTCGACGCTTCAGATCCTGCCGATCCGTCGCCTGCACCGTGGCCGACTTCATGACCAGGCCGCCGTCTGTGGCCTGGAGGCGTCGGGTGTTCAGTCAAACAACAGCCGTCATCGTCCTTTTTGGCGGGACTCCAGGGTCTCTGCTCTCTGATGTTCTAGAGGTTTGTTGAGCTTCAGGCAAACATCCTGTTAGGAACAATAAGTATCGCAAATTACGCTGTTGCAGGCGCGTGATCTGCGATGCATGTTCCTGGTATATTTAATTTCTTCAAACAGGGGGTTGAAATGGGAGGTCACCCTATTTCAATACTTAACGTCTCTGTGGCTAACCGCGATCTTCGACCGAAAAGCGACAGCTCCTGGGCCTCTTTGAGCAATGCCGGGATTCCCGCCAGGAGGCTGTAGACGAAGAGGCTGTTCCTGCCACAAAACATGAGGCGGGACAGGGGATGGAAGAGCCAATCGGCCGCGTGCATGTTACAGCTCGGTAGGTTGAGTTGGGGGCTTCCACAGTATGAGCCTGTCCACCGGTGCAAGGGAGTGGGGCAACCCAACAAATGACTGGAGCTCCAAAACAGATTCACCAGGTTCCTCCAAAAAGAACTTATGCGTGACCATCCTGCTTTCATGCCCAGAAACCTCAACTTCAAAAATAGTGTGCGGGGTAACAAAACCCAGCAACAATACACAATGCACAGAGGAACATAAGCACAGATCCTGAATGTTATGATCAACGATAAGACTCTTCATGACCACTCCAGCATGAGCCATCACAGCGGCCGACCACTGGGCCGAGCTATCTGTTCAATAAGGATTTCTGTGGTTTGCAGTGAGTTTCATGCAATCACAGTCCAGCTCCTTCAGTTTCACAAGACTTCAAGAGCCACGGAGGAACCAGCTGAAAAGTGTCCCTCTCGGCCCAACGGGAGCCAGGTCGACTCAATGATCTCCATCTCGGCACGCACGAAGTCCTCTGCGTGAAACACCGGCGATCGAATGATGGTGCTTCTGGTTTTGGTGGAAAAGGGAAGACTTCGAAGGTGCTTATTCGAAGCTTAACAGAACCCTACCGAAAAATGTCGTGTGGAGCTTTCAGGTCTTGGCCCATGCTGTCCTGCCGACCCTTGGGACATCTCCATCCCAGCACAGCAAACTGCTTCCGCAAAAAGCCAACCACTAAGACGTGTCAGAAACCTGTCTCTAAACCGCAACAACCAGCTAAAGATGTTGAAAGTGATGGCTTCTCCAAATAAGTTCGTTCCGTAGCAAAACAAACAACCAGTTCTTGCATTCAAATGATCCTGTTTTACTTGCTTGGAGTCCAGAGCTTCCGGTGGTAGGTCCAAAAGACACACAGAGCTGCTTGGCTCGTTGATCTCAAGGGCACCATCTGCATCGAACGGGAAGCCGAGCGCACGGGAACGTGCTCAGAAAATGACATCAAAGACCCATCTTTCGCACAGAATCTTTAAACCGTCGTTTCAGCGCAGTTCGATCGATTTCCGTCACCAAGGCTTGACACAACTCCCGGAGTGCCTTGAGAACGAAGGAGTCGACTCCCGACTCAAGGTACAGGCCCACCAACACCCACCTCCCACCCAACCGTCCACCCAACTCCTTGAGAACCCGCTGCAGATCCGTGACCTGACTCATTTTTTTCCGTCGGATTTCCGGGATTTCCAGGATTGGAAGTTGAAAAGTCACCGGAACGTGACAGCAAAAGCTCATGAAAGTGTGCAAACAATCATGACAGCAAAAGCCAAGCCTTCCAGTCCCCACTTTTCACAGGGCTGTGAGTCATGGGGTTATTCGATGTTATTTGTGAACCCGTGTTAATGCCGCTCATGTCTTGTCAAGCCTAGTGAAGTCTAAGGTGTCAGGACGCTGTTCTTCCACCCCTGAGGCCCTGACGAAGTTGTCCTTCCTCAGGGTCTCCACCTGCGGCAACATCTCCACTTGCTGTGGAAATCCAAAGATAAAAAACAACATAAAACAACTATAGTGGGCCGGGTTGACGTTTTGACGGACTCTGGCAGTGTGTGACTGTGTGTGTAACCCTTGGAATCATAGGGATCCTCTTGGATTTGTTAGGTTTACCTTTCCAGCAGGGGGCACGGAGACTGATTTCCCATCCGTGCCAACGAAGCTACGGAAATCAGTTGGAAGAGAGTTGGGACGCCAACTCTTGTACCTGCATTTTGACTTTCAAGTTTCTGTAAAGGGCTAATGCACTCGGCAGACATGAGCGTAGTCGTCAGCCTGTTCGACCCGTGATCGCCGATTGGTCTCTTCCGCTTTGGGCCTCCTTTCCTTTTAAGACCTCCAGGATTCGATGGCCTCCTACTTGTACCCTTAGGAAATGGAACCCTAGGCCGGCGTGTGGCACCGCATTCAGTTCAGTACACAATATCCTAAGTGTGTTTGGCCTTGTGCCAACCCGGGATGAGCCCGCAGAGTGCCTCCCGTGGACCCGTCGAACGGGTGTACGTCGTTATCTCCCCTGCCCGGAGATGTAGATGCCCAGAGGGGGCGAAGGTGGCCTAGGCCGTACGTACGATGATCTTTGTCTCATCTTTGGAATTCCAAGTTGGCCCACGCCTTTACGTGACCGCAGCGGTCCAAGCAGCCAGCCATTTTGGCACGGCGTACGTGGCCGCAGCGGCCGAAGTTTGTTCAAGGTTCATTGGAACCTGTCGCGAGCTTAGTCCCCCTGCTTCCCCTTCCCTCCCCTTTCTTTCCTTGCTTTTTGGGGTTTTCCTGAATGGAAGACTCAGGATCACCCCTTTCTTTCTGAGGTGTGTCCCTGGACGATTGTTCGTAGCTGGGAACACCTGCCTTTTCCTTTTCTCTCCTCTCCCTTTCTCTCCCTCTCTCTTTCTTTCTTTCTCTCTTTCCTCTCCACCTTCCTTCCTCCTTGGGTGTCCCTGCATGCTTTTGTCATAGCTGGGAACCCTTCTCCGCTCTTCTTTTGGTGTGTCCTTGGACGCTTGCGTCGTAGCTGGGAACGCCTTCCTTCCTTCTCTTTCCTTTTTCTCGTCTCTCCCTACCCCTCCCTCCTGTCGGGACCTTAGTTTGGGTTGCTACTAGGGGCTCCTGGCCTTCCTACTAGGTGCTAGGTCGCTACTTTGACGCTACTAGAGGTTCCTGGCCTTGCTACTACTTTGTCCGCACCGTTTGGCGCGGAGCTTGAAACATGCCTCCCTTCGGGGAGGCGTGTGTGTGTAACCCTTGGAAGCATAGGGATTCTTTGGGATTTGTTAGGTTTACCTTTCCAGCAGGGGGCACGGAGACTGATTTCCCATCCGTGCCAACGAAGCTACGGAAATCAGTTGGAAGAGAGTTGGGACGCCAACTCTTGTACCTGCATTTTGACTTTCAAGTTTCTGTAAAGGGCTAATGCACTCGGCAGACATGAGCGTAGTCGTCAGCCTGTTCGACCCGTGATCGCCGATTGGTCTCTTCCGCTTTGGGCCTCCTTTCCTTTTAAGACCTCCAGGATTCGATGGCCTCCTACTTGTACCCTTAGGAAATGGAACCCTAGGCCGGCGTGTGGCACCGCATTCAGTTCAGTACACAATATCCTAAGTGTGTGTTTTCTGTTTTTTTCCGTATGGACCACTGAACCCTAACCAAGTCTGCACCTCTGCCTCCGTCCGTCCACGTCCACGTCCACGTCCGTTGCACACTTCGAGTCCACGTCCAAATCGTCGGTGGACATTTTTCTGCGATCCGGTCCTACCTAGAAAGGGAGTGTGTGTCTCAACCACTGGGTGAACTTCGAGAGTCAAAAAGACCAAGGAGTCCATGGATGAACGTCTAAACAAATGACCGAATAGTCTGCATGACTGCGAGCTGTTTACAGGCTACCACAGCGCCCAATGACTGTGTGGCAGAATCCCTCTCCGCAATCAGCCATTCACCAAAAGGTCAAATGTCCAATCATGTTGCTTACCAAAACACGACCTCTCATGTTCTTTCTATTAAAAAAGTTCCGAAGGTTTGAGACACCCTCCCAACCACTTTTTGCTCCCGGCCGAATTTCAACACCCTGGTCCTGCGACTCCCCACCTTGCTCGCGACCGCCTCGAAGGCCTCCTGGGACAATTGTCCGACCCAAGCGAACGAAAAAAACAAAAAAGGCCAAAAGAAAAGGAACTGCCACGGTGAACTTTCCCCACTTTTGCTTCCCAGGTCTGCAAACTCCAAGCTTCACCCCTCCCCCGGCACCCTCCCGACAGCTCCTGGTTTTGGCTCACGGGTTCCAACCACCGCCGCAGGGCGGCCACTGGGCGAAGGCGAGTCATTCCCGAGTCATTCATGTCACGCAAGCATCAAGCCCACCGAAGAAAGGATCACAAACTTATGTTGCAGAGGAATCTAGAGGATAACCCTATGCCGACAAAGGAAAAGGACGTTTCCTGTCGAGTTCCTGTAGAACTACAACTTTACGCGTTTCATATGAAATGATTTCTCTTTGATGGATGGCCCATTCATCAACGCACTGAAGACCTGAGTCTGGCACTGACGTTCGACACCACTGGGTATCTGCACGGGAAGCGCCTGGTGCGAAGAAGGCCCCAACTCTGAGCGGGTTGAAGAACAAAGAAAACTCAAATAACAGTCTTGGATGAAACACCCTTGTACAAAGTCAATCACAGAAATTGTGAGAAGGACTCATCTCTTCCCCACGATCTTCCGTCTTGGGGCGCACCAACGGTGCCTGAAATCGAAAGCCGTTTTTGTAGTGTTTGACATCGGATGTCTTTGTTCATCGCAAAGGTGAAGAGTGCATGGCTCCTCAGTTGGCTCAGCTCCCTCTCCACGTTCTCCAGTGCCGGATCTGGTCTCAGGACCTACCCTGATGCACTCACAAGACCCACCCGGCCACGGGACAAAGGGCACTTCTGACTCACAAGACTTAGATCCCCAAAGGACGGTCCGGCTCGGCTCGGCCACCAACCCGACAGGTCTGACTTGAAAGTGTCCAACCTCCGCCTAGGGGGACCGCCCAAAGAGATCCAGTGAAAAACCGATCCCAAAAAAGACGAAACATGTCTGAAAAAAGGAATACACACGAAACACGTCCTCCAAATCTGTTTCCACCAAAGAGAGCCTCTGGCGCAACCCAACCAGTGGTCCTTTCTCTAAAAAAACGACTCTCAAACCTCTCAAAAAGCCCCAAAGCATGTATTTTCCAGAGACAGTCGCGAATGGATTCCCGAGTCCCTCATCCCCGAGTCCCACGCCCACTTCCCACGCCCGTTCCTGGCGGCGCCTCAACGCGGCAACGACGGCCTCCCAGGCTTCGGGCGGCGCCGGGCCCTGTTGACACCTGGGACGGGGGCATTTTTGGGAATCCGTAGCAAGTGGAGGTGGCTCTTAGGTTGGAGGCCATCACTAGTAGGTTGGAGGCCATTGCTCTTGAGGCCATTGCTCTTGGGTTGGAGGCCATCGCTGGTAGGTTGGAGGCCATTGCTACTAGGAGATGTAGCGAGTGGAGGTGGAAAAAAAGGAGGAGAATCGATGTGAGGAGTGCTACTTGGAGATGCCTCGAGAGTTTGGAGGGCTTCCCTTCAAGCGGAAATCGTGGAGGGGGAAGGGGAGGTTCCAATTTTGTTGAGCTGCAAAGTGGATGATGAAGTGATTCATCATGTGTGGTTTTGATTGAAAGCAGGACACCCCGCCCAAACGCGAACAAAGGACTTTGATCGCTCTTGAATCCCGTCAGCACTCCACTCAAGCCGCCCCCGAAGGTCGTCCCAAAAAGGCGATCGTCGTAGCCAGGTGAGATATCTCACCTCACATCCTCCCCCACTGATTGCAATCGCCGACTCTTGGGCATCGCTACAGGTAGCCCAATACTTCACAGCCTTTCACTTGAACATTCCTCAGTCGCGGACGTTGCATTGGTCGGGCTGGGACGCAAAGGGAGGGCGTTGGAGGTTCCGTCAGTCGATTGCCCTGCTGAAAGGGAACCATCGGTTTAGTCTGTGACATGACAGTGGAACGGTTTATATTGACATCAACCATGGAGCTCCAGAACCAGCGATTTACATCAATGGAACTCCAGAACCAGCCATGGAGGCAGCACTTTGGGGAGTACGTCACTGACTGTGCATCTTATCAAATCCCAAAGCCTGTGACCATATCCTACAACCAGCCTACTACATGATTGATTAATATTGATCAATTGCTTACAGAAATCCTGATTGCTGGATTCAAATCAGCCTTTGGCCAAATATGTGTATATAATATATATATATATACTACAGATGAAAGTAACAAAAGTAAACCGTCACCACCATCCATCACCTTCACGCCTTTGGTGATTGGAAGGTTCAAAAAAGCACCAAAAAAAAAAAACACTCCTACCACACCACTATGCCTCACCTCCACCCCGGCTCTCAGCTTTCTCCGACCCTGGGTCGGTCCGGGGCTTCCGGACGCGACGGCGCGATGCAGCTGCATGGCACTGGTGACCACGAGCACTGCAGCTTCAGCACCTGGATTTGTTCGGAACAATTCTATTTATATGTATTGATTGTTTCTAGTAGCTTCTTGCTCCTAGTAGTAAGGCCAGGAGCCCCTAGTAGCGTCCTTGCTCCTAGTAGCGATGCCCTTTGCTCCAAGTAGCTTCTTGTTCCTACCCCCCCGAAAGAAACAAAGTTGATTGTTCCGTAGCTTTTCATTTCCTGCATGGAACATCCAACTTTGAACCGAATTCCATGTGGATGCTCCATGGTTTGGCTCAGTTCCTTCAAACTTAAGGTCGCACCGAGACGACTCATGTCTCCGCAAAAAACGCCGCCACGCCTGGGGTCGGACCTGGGCCAGTGACGCTTAAGACGACCTGACCTGACCTCTGAGGGATCAAACTGTGGGTGGTGTCGCATCACCTCTCTTCCAATCCCAGCAAAGTCGGCCAACGACTTCATGGACCGAGCAAAGTCGGCCAAGACCGACTAGTTGCCATCTGCCAGAGGGATTGAAAGCCGAAGGATCTCAGTCTGACTTCCTCCAAGTGCGTAGGCTGTGTTTGTCTAGGAGGAGATACATCTGTTTGATTCATTGAGGTCTAGAAGTCTGGACGGATGATGAAACAAGACCACAAATCGACTGAAATGTTACCCTGCATTAAGCTTCCAGAAGGTTCTTAGTATATAGTTACAGTTGGAAACCCACTGGTTGCCAACTCCGGAACTAGATGCTCTCGGTCTGGTTCGTTCCTGGATTCCCACAATGGAAATCTCGAAATGCCTTGCGCTGCTGTGCAAAACTCTGCAAAACCTGACGACATCCCGATTCACAACCCTTCTCCCCGGAAGACCCCACCGCCCCATGTCGCCCAGCGACCCACCGCTTCGTCGCAAAGGTCCGCCATGGCGGACAAGCTCGCGAACTGACGGAAGGGGCTTTCGGCACCGTGGGTGATTCCTAAGGACCCCGTCCGAAGGACGCCTGTCGGTTGGCCTTCCAAATCGGAATGAGTTGGGCAAATTGGATGTCCATCCACCTCATCTGAAGACGGTTCTGATGCAGCCAGTGGGAACACAACATCCCTCCCAAACCTAGTAGTTCCCTGCACCCAGTGTGCTGCTCTGGTTGTCTCCCTGCACCCAGGTGTGGAGAGATTTCCAGTCAGCCCACATCTTACATTCAAGGAATGTGTGAAATTTTGTTGTCATGGCCCAAGTTTGCTGAACTTATATTATAAAGACCCCTAAATCGATAGAAGTTCGTAGATCCCGACTAGAAATGTATTGGAAACCGTGCCACTATCTATTCGGGGATGCACATTTTCCGGGTTCCACGACTGAGCAGTTCAGCAGTTGGTGGCCCCGCCTTGCTCACCAGCAACCAGTGGAACCACCTACACCCCTTCGGGATTGCCTTTGTTGCACCCCATGCTGGCCCAAAATGGATGTTCAGCGTTGAAAACTGTCCCAACACATCCATATTTCATCCACACCAAGCCATTCATCACCCACCAAAGGCTCCGAAGCGCCTGCAAATCTGCTGATTGGGGCCGCTGCCTGCGCACTGAGGCGACACTGATTCTTTCGCCACTCTAAGGGGAACTCAACCAGTGATGCCGCGAGGGGAAGTGGAAACTTGGCACCTCCAAGCGAACATGCCTCATCGTTTGGAAGAAACACATCTCACTCCCAGAAAGAGATGGCATAGCCGTGCATAGCCCAATAGCCTCCAGAAGCCTCTTTCATTTCAGGACAGACCGTTCAGCCGGCATAGCCGTGCTTTCTACCCTTCGCTTCCTCAAGACCCTTCGCTTCTTCGCTTTCGCGCTATTGCCTCATGGCATCCACCAAGATTGGGAGACCCGCGATGTTGCCCGCAGCCCACCTGAGCCGTTGGCCATCAACGGGGGACACTCCCGATGGCTTTTTCGAGACGTGGATGCCGCATGAGCAACGCGCCACAGCCATTGGTATCAAACCTTAAGAAGACTCAAGAGGCTCAAAACACGGCTTGGTACATAGCATGGTTGGAGAGACCTCCGTAGCCATGTCCATCGAACTCGACTCCGCCAGTCTTGGTGGAACGGGACAAAGCAACACAAGACAAGCACACAGATCGACCTCGTTTTCCTGTATACATCTGACTGCGGTCCTTGTCTGTGAGGTGATCCACTGCACGATGACCCATTGGGTCCAACCTAACAAGGTTTACGTCTTATCGGAGACAAGGTGGCCACCCAAACCCAAAGAGAATGGGTTGTCCTTTTGAGAATTCAGCTTCATGCCCTTGTGGTCGTTGTCTACCTTGCAGCAGTACCATCACCCACCCTGTTCAAAGTAAGAGAAGAATGTGGAAAGCACCCCAGATGAGAGAGGCACTGGTAAAGGAAGAAATCCTGCACCCATGATGCCACCCCCGTTGTCTTCCAACACACATCCTGTTGTCTTCCAGTTCTTCGTCTCCCGTCAGTCCGAATCAGTCCTGCAGAGATACCCGATACCCGTGAGCCAAGCCACATCAAGTCTCTTAAATCGCCACAACTCACCTGGCAACACGTCAGAGATACCCGTCGTGCTCACGAGTCGCGGGAGATGATCAGCTGACTGGAAGGCTTAAGGGACGTCGACACACCTGGTCTGCACAGCTGGAGCTTTCAGGTGTGCATTCACTCCCATGTGCGGCACACCGATGATCTAAAAGAGGTTGATCCCATCACAAAGCCACTGAAACATTGTTTCTCCCTGAGTCACTCCACCAAACTTCTCCAGATTCGCCCAACCAATGAATGGACCGCCCAAGCGCAAACGAAGGGAGGGAATCCTCCTTCCAAATAGAATGAAACTTCCAAGACTACCCTGCCACTGGTAGAGTCTTGCTAGAGGTTGAACCAGGTAACAAGGTTGAGTAATTTTGGGAGAGGTAGGGTGTAGGTTCATCATAAACAAAAATGGTAAGGGACTATTTTTCGTGACGTCAGCTTGCACTATCTCCGGATTCCTCCTACCTCACATATTCTAGCAAGTTTGTTACGCTTGTCCAAATTCTGGGCGTCGCTCAGCCGAATGAATCTAAAAGGGTTGCACGTGGACTGTCTTGGTTCTTGAATTGTCGATTGTGGTAGATGGCCAGAAACCCCTACATTCTAAGTCTTGGGAGGACAAATCCCCTTGACCTTCGCCAAACAACACCATGGCTGTTTCTCCAAACTTCCTTCACCCTCCTCCGAACAACATATATACAGTATCCATCAGGATTCTTCCTTCTCGCGACTGTTTCCCGTCTCTCCCCAAATTTCTCGCCTTGGAATCGTTGGCGCGAAGCCAGCCCTGCTGCAGGCTCGGCAGCGCCTGCTGCAGGGGCCCACACCAGAACTCAGAGGCCACATGGCCCAGGCAGGTGCAGGCCGCCTTCCGAGCCGAAGGCAACCGATGGGTGAGAGTTTCCCGGTCCCTTTCTGCCCCGGTCCGTCCACCAAAAACTCCCCCCCATTCATTGACTCGCCTTGGCGACTTCAGGATTGGGGCTCTGCAGTGCTTTCAGCTCCACATTCACCGCTTCATCCATCTCTCTCAAGGCACCTCGCACATGCTGAGAATTGCGCCGCGGCAGTGAAACGGGGTGCTGTCCACACCAGAAAACGAGAATCTGGCGCTACCAGTGACCAGTGCAGTTGGACTAAAACCTCAAGGAATCCATGCAAGAGGCAAACCAATTACAGTATGTATACACCAACTAGACTTTGAAACTGGCATTTTGAAAAGTTGATCTGCCAGCCCTATCTGGACAACAACCACGAACCCGACGCGCCTGGCGGCACCTGTGAGGAGTAGAACTTCGCCACGCCGCCCAAGGCCTGAAGTGCATAGCCCAACTCCTCCAGACCGACGCCGCAGATCGACACCGGCTCCACGCGGCGCTCGAGACGACGACGAGCGGTGAGCCGGACGAGAGGAGCGGACCGGATGGCATCAAAGAAGGTGTTGACAGTGTTAACTAGTAGCGTCCTTGTTCCTAGTAGTGCGGCCAGGAGCCCCTAGTAGCGT